AATGTGTTAATAGATAGAGATGCTTGTTAGTCTAAGGATGCTAGATCCTCCCGCCCCATTGTGATTAAAATGTGAGTTGATAGATGGAGATGTTTGTTAGTCTAGAGATGCTAGATAGGGATCTGTAACCAACCTAGGGTCCCAGAGTAAACTACTCAACTCTTTGTTTATCCAGAACTGTTATTCCAGACACCACAATTGTTAAAACAAGCTGCAGATGTCTGCTAACCATCAATATGTGACAGTCGTATGTTAACTTCCCCTTCAACCCCCTATAAAAACAGCCTCGGATTCTGAGCCAGTTGCCTCTCTAAGCTATTTTGCTTTGGGAGTGCCATCTGGCCAGACTAATAAAGGTCTGTTTCCCAACTTGGCTGGTGTGTTCCTTCCCGGGTGGTCTTCGCTGTAGTCAGCTCCTTGGAGCGTTTGGTAAGGCTTTTGGTCTTACATTCTGAAGGCACCACTGAGATTCCTGGGTATGCTTCACTAATCAGCTCCTTGGAGCATTTGGTAAGGCTCTCAGTCTTACATTCTGAAGGCACCACTGGGATTCCTGGGTGTGCTTCACTATAGTCAGCTCCTCGGAGCCTTTGGTAAGGCCCTCGGTCTTACACTTCCTTCCTTCCTTCCTTCCTTCCTTCTAGTACATGCTTGCAGTGCATAATGTTTACATTCCTTGTGAGGAGTTGGTGCATATACATAACACGTCTTCCTTTTTTTCATTCATTTTTCCTCCCTTCTGTCTGTCTCTTGGTCCCCTTCCCCTTTGAGAAAGATCTATCTCCCTACTTGCTATTATCAATCTTTTATTTTGCTCTTTATTTTTACTTTGGGTTTTCCATGTAAAGGAAACCATGTAATATCTTAGCATCTGGGTCTGATTTATTTCACTTAACATTATGGTTTCAAGATGCATCCATTTTCCTACAAACGACTCGTTTATCTTTCTTTATGGCAGAATAGTACTCCATTTTGTCTAAGAACCACATTTTCTCTATCCATTCATCTGATGAAGGATCATAGAACTAAATGTTAAAATAGAAACACTTAACCTGCTGGAAGATAAAATAGATAAAACTCTTGAAGTCATAGGTGTAGGCAAGGACATTTTTAACAGAACCCCTATTGCACAGGAAATAGTACTAAGAATTAACAAATAGGATTGTATCAAATTAAAAAGTTTCTGCACAGCAAAAGAAACAGTCAACAGAGTGAAAAATCCTATAGACTAGAAAAAATTGCCAGTCCTCAGACAGAGGACAAATATCTAGAATATATAAAAAACTCAAAAATATTAGACCTCTCCTAATAAGAGATTGAATCAGAAAATGGGCAAGTGCAATGAAGTATATCTTTGATTGATATTTTTGCTCTATTTGTTCTGGGTTTGTTTGGGTTTTTTTTGGTACTGGGAATCGAACTCGGGTCCTTGGCTTGCTAGGCAGGTGGTGGAACCACTGAGCTAAATCCCTGGCCCATTGCCTTATTCTGTTTCCTTCAGGAATAGCAAATTTTTTTGGAAGTTGAATATCTCCTCTCCTCCCCCTTTTTTTTGGTATTTCATAAGTATCTACTTTTCAAGTTAAATGTTGTTAAGGTTCATTTGTTTTGTTTTGAATATGTGACAGCTCATAAACTTGCATGCCACTCTCCTACAGAGGCCACAGTTGTCTTTGTAGCTCTCCCAATTTCTGTGCATGTGCTGGTAAAGTGAGTACTCAGGGTTTTTAAAGAAGTACGCAGTGTAGAACCATCCATAGTTATGTAAGTAATACAAGAAAATAGTCAAATTTAAGGCAAGTTGTTGACTTTTAAAAAAATTTCTTCAGGTTCTCAACGTTCATTCCTTCAAATCATATTTCCAGAGAAACTACAAGGAAATGCAAGCAGTAATTTACAAGTAAGATACGTAAATATTTTTACAACATAAATTATTATATGAAATTTCTTATTTTTATCATATAACTGTAAAATATATCATCATTATAATACAAGTGTAAATATCTAATATTATTGCCAATAAAGGTAATTTAAAGTTTTAATGGTAAAAGCAAATATATAAATAATAATGCTCTGCTTTGTTTAAAATTTATCATTTCTTCATGGTAAATTATTTTTAAAAGTTCACATATAGAAAATAATATAGAAGAATTAAGTGTCTTCTCTAAGTGATATCAAGGAGGTATCTTGGACATTCAGATGAGGAAAATAATGTTCTCCAAAACAACATTATCTTTTGACAACAGTTTTCTTCCTCACTCTTGATCCCTGTGCCTACCCATTCTCAGGCAAGAAGAAACCTTATATATTTTACTATTTTTATTAGGAAGGGTAATAGTTTATTTTATTCACTGATTTATTTAACATCTATTTCTCTGTAGAATTGCCGTGTAAATATACTACGCATCCTAGGAGAGTAAAGAGAAAGAAGAAACTGAACAAGCCTGACTTAAAGTGGCCAATCTTTTGATAATGCTTTGTTTTTTAGCAGATTTATTTAGGTATAATTTTCACACTACAGGATTCATCTATCATAAGTGCACAGCTCAATGATTAGTACATAATGAGGGTTGTGCAAACATGATCACAATCCAGTTGTAGAATATTTTCATAATCCTGCAACTTTCCCTCCTAGCTTGTGAACTTTGAATGTTGTCTGTCTTCTGGATTAAAACTGTTGTAGTGAGGGTATAATGATATGTCATTGTTGCTTTAAGGTACATTTCATCAATAAATAATGATGTTGAACATTTTTCATGAGTCTTTTTATCTATTTGTATAGCTTTCTCCCAAGTATTTATTCAATCATTTATCTGTTTTTTAATTATTTCTTTATTTTTGAGTTCTAGAGAGTCATACTGTATTCTGGATATGTTTTTATCAGTTGTATACCTTTAATTATTTCCCTCCAACTTGTAGTTTGCCTTTTCATTTTCTAAAGTGTTTGAAACATACTTTCAATTTTGATGACATCTTATCGTTTTGTCTTTTATGGATCTTGGCTTTGGTTTTGTCTTGAAAAGCTCCACTGTGTACCTGAATTGTGTCCCTTCAAAATTCATATGTTGAAGCCCTAACCTTCAGGTCTCACCTGAAACCAACCTACTGCCATGATGGTCTTGACTTCTGGGCTTCAGAATTTAAAAAAAATAAATTTATGGTGTTTATGTCACATATGTTACATTAACTCACTTATTTTACTATTTCTGGTTCTTTGAGATACCATCTGCTATGATTTCTTGTAAGTCTGAAGGTATTCTTTTAGTATTTCTACTAAAGCAGGTGTTTGTGTCACCATTTTAAAAGCACGGGTTTTGATGAATATAGAGTTCTTGGCGGGCAGGGTTTTTTTTTCTTTCAGCACATTTTATACCTCACTTCACTGCCTTTTGTCCTCCATTAATTATTTTAGAAGACAAATCTGTCATTAACTGTACTGATGCTTTGTTGTATGTGATGAGTCATTTTTGTCTTGGTATTTTGAAGATTTTTCTCATCATGTTTAGGTCTTATCAGATTGCCCAGGAAGTATCTCAATGTTTATCTTCTTGACTATTTACTCCTTACAGTTTATTGAGATTTGAGATGTGTAGATTAATGTTTTTCTTTAAATTTTGGGTGGTTTTGCCATAATTTGTTCAAATATTTTTCCTGACCTTATCTATTCTATTTCTCTCACATTTCTAGAACCTACATTTCTAGAACTGCCTTTACTCACATGTCAGTACTCTCACAGTTGTCTTACAGGATTCTCCTTTTTTTTTTTGGTACCAGGGATCGAACTCCAGACCTCGCGCTTGCGAGGCAGGTGATGACACCACTGAGCTAAATCCCTGGCCCCAGGCTTCTCCAGTTTTATTCACTGATCTTCAATATTTTTTCTCACTGTTCTCTAGAATAGGTAATTTTTATTGCCATACCATCAAATTTATTTATTCTTTTTATCAGATTCTACTGTTGAACTGCTTTGTTCAAATTTTGCATTTTAATTATTTTACTCTTCCACTATTGTTTTAAAATGATTGTTTTTTTTTTTCTCTATTTCTCTGAAGAATGCCATAAAGTTCTCATAGTGATTACATTGAGTCTGTAAACCACTTTAGGTATTGTGAACATTTAATAATAGTAAATATTCCAACTCATGAACATAGGATGCTTTTCCTTTTCTTTTTTCTTTTTTTTTATTTGTGTGTGTCTCTTTGATTCCCTTCAGTAAAATTTCATAATATTCATTCTAGACAGTTTTCAAGTTCTGGTCAAATTTATTCCTAAGTATTTTTTGTAGTTAATTTCTTTTTCAGGTAATGCACCATTGATATATAACATTGCTACTGATTTTCATGTTTGGATGTTTGCTGAATTAATGAATTGGTTTTAATAGCTTTTTGTGGAGTCTTGGAGTTTTCTATTTATAAGATCCTATCATCTGCAAAGAGTGGTGATTTGACACCTCCTTTCTAATTTGGGTGATCTTTATTTTTTTCATTTGCCTAATAGGTTCTGCTAGGATTTTGACTACTGTGTTGAATAAAAGTGGTAGAAGTGGAGTTTCTTGTAACAGAAGTTAGACAGAACTTTCATCTTTCCCTAAATGTGTTAGCTGTGTCCTTCTTGTACATGACCTGAAGTACATTTCTTCCCTAAGTATTTTGTTTAGAGTTTTTAATCATAATGGGATTTGAATTTCTTCAAATGCCTTTTCTGTATCTATTAAGGTAAAGGAAAAACAGTAATTATTAAGATATTAGTATAGCAAATATTACTTCCCTTACTTGTACTTGCATAATGGGATTTAGCATAAAATGGCTATATTTGCAGATAATTTGGAGAAATTTGGTGAAATCCTTAAAGCAAATAGAGGAAATTATAAGGTAGTTTACTAAACAATAATGTTAAATTTGTATTTTAATTTTTAACCTCTTAAAAATTACTATGATTTTGTTTTGGGAACATATTCATTCAAGAGCTACTTTGGATAACTACTTGCACATCAAGTCCACTAAAAAACTAGATAAAGATGCTTTAGCAAGTATACTTAATTATTACATTTAGACCAACCTCTCCAAGGAACTATTTTCTTATCACTGAGACTTTTAAAACTTGTTTACCCTTCTGCTTCAGTACAAGAATCTTTGCAGTATTTCTGTCTTCATATCTGTCATGCTTAATTTGCATTTTCCTCAATTTTTCTGTTTTAAAAAATAAATATTTAAAAATTTGAAAGAAATTGAGATATACAGAAAAAATATAGCGATAGCGGACAATTCTCATATGCTGTTCACACAGTTTCCTCTAATATGAAAATTTATATAGTTATGTTGATGCATTATGTTTGTTAAAACCAAGAAATTAACATTGGTATACATTTTGAATAGATAATACATTAAATACTATTTTCTTTGGGTATCAGTGGTTTTTCCAGTGATGTCCTTTTCCAGTTCCAGAATCTAAAACAGGATATCCCATTGCGCACCCTCCCTGTCTCCTTTGTTATGTTGCAGTCTTTCCTTGTCTTTCATGATCTTGACCGTTGTGAAGGGTACTGGGCAGGTATTAAGTAGAATGCCTCTCAGTTTGGCTTTGTCTGATATTCTTTCATCATTAAACTAAGGTTATGAGATTTAAGAACATTACCATAGAGGTGAAATGCTCTTAACATTACATCATATTGGATATATGATATCAATTTATTACTAATGACATTAACCTTCTGGTTTCATTTTTTTACCATTTGCTGACCTTTGCACAACTTGCCTTATCCTTTTGTTTGTGTGGTATACTGGGTGCTTTTTATTTTCACAGATCCTGGAGCATTTATCTTTTTTGTTGCCCTAGTGTTTGTGTCCTTTTCATTTTTACATGCTTTTTTCCCCCGTACAGATAATACTATTGCTTACCACATGTTCTTTTTTGCTAGGTAAAATCTTGTCCCTCAGATTCACTGATCTGTAAATATTCTAACCTACAGCTACCAGTATTCTAAATTGAAAATAGTAATGGTAGAGTCAAAAGCAGTATCAAATTTTGATCAAGAATCTTCCATTTAAAAAGATAGGAAATAGGATATCCTAATATGGAATATTTTTTTAAAAATTGTTAAATAATTTTTGTGCTTGGTACAGGAAGCTTCACTGTTGTAGAGTACCTTATTATCCCAACAATGCCATGTGAATAAACATTACAGCATAGAATATGGTCTCTCCTTTCATAGGAGTTTATAATTTAGTTACATGTAGATTACTCTTCTTATATAAATCCTTAGATTTGCTTATTGTTGGTGGAAATAGTGAGAATGTGTTAAATAATAAATGTTAAAACTCTAATATTTTGTTGAAGATTTTAAATCAGTCTTACATATTTTAAGCACTATTTGGAGGAATTAATTGATATAAAATTGTTTTGCTTCTTATATTAAATTCACTTTCACTCTTAGTTGTTCTTGACTTTCTAGGACCAGATGTCCTATATTATTGCAATAGATGAGAAACTGTGTACTGTGCACCTAAAGCCAAGGTAAGTTTTTTTTAGTTGAGAATTTCATTTTATGTCTATGAAATTTTTTCCTTGCAATAAAATGATGTATGAAAAATAATACAATTGTTGTTAATATTTTTTATCTGTTTTGGATGAACTGATGCTCTCTTGTGACCTAAATTTTTGGTCTTAAAATCTTATGTAATCTTTTGTGAATGGGGATTCAGAAATGAAAAAGTGGGGACCCACCTCTTGCAGACTGATATCATGATAGTTGGCAGGACTGGTTGGATCTCTGCAGCCAGAGTAGAGGGAAAAGAGGAACAGACCCCAGTCAGGGGAAATGTGAATCTGAATTGGAGAAGCTGTATATGAACTATTTGTGGGACATTCCAGCTGAAATAGTTAGTTGAAATTAATCTGGTTTTGAACATGGGAGAGAGATATGACTTTCAACATCCTTTATGATAAAATTCTCAACCATAGAAGGAATGTACCTCAATACAATAAATATCACATATAACAAATTCATATGTAATATCATATTCAAAGGTCAACAGTTGAAGGCTTTTCTCCAAGACCACCTAAGGTTAGTAATGAGACAAGATACCTACTCTAACTGAAATAGGAATGTTATCAGACCTCCAAATGACATAGGGGAAATATTATAACTCTAAACCTGCTAGATGTAAGATACACTGAGTTTGTGTTCCCCAGAATCAAAGAATGAATTCTAAGGAACAACAGAAGTTAAGAGTAGGAAATGTTTATTGAGAGATATAGATGCTGAGAGGTAAGAAGGGTCCCAAATGGGTGTCTGGGAACTGTGTTACAGGGGAAGTTTTATAGAACACAACCACATCAGTACAATGTGGGTTAAAGCTATGATCAACCCATAAAGTTACAAGTATAGTCGCTTAGGTAATAGTCATTCAATGGGGTAGCAAGTCACATAGCAAGTGTACATGGAAAGAACAGAGAACTTTTCAGGAAGATGATGGGCCTGAGGGTCTTGATCACATGCCAAGATGACTTCTCTGATGTCTATCTAGACTACATTATACCAGGTATTACAACTTGTCTCATCCCTTGGAGAACTATGTAGGCCTAGTCATTTTATCTTTATATTGAGGCCTGACCTCCAACTGATGCACCTCCAGCCACAACTGTAATGTGTTTTTATCTTTTGGACTGACTCTCTCAAGAGTCCAGCCCAATCTGACTGCCTATAATATTTTTACCTAACTTAGCTGTCTATAATATAACCATGCCTGTTCAAGATAGTACCGGACATTCCAAACAGAACAGTTAGGCAAAATAAAGAAAGAGAGGGCATTCAGATTAGAAAGGAGAAGCTAAACTGTCCCTGTTTGTAGATAACATGATCACAATACATAAAAAAAACCTCAAAACATGTATATGGAATTACAGTAGACTACAAGTTTTCAAAGTTGCCTTAAGCAATACGAGCAAAGCTGCAGTCATCACACTAGCAAATTTAAAAATATACCACAGTTACAGTACCAAAAGCTGTCTATATAGGTAATACATATGCTCACAGAAATAAATGAGATATAAATGTAGTGGTGTATTTTAAAGATAAGAAAAAACAAAGAACTGAATACTGTGGAGCATTTAAGGGATGAAGGAAAGCTAGATGAAGGGATTTATATTAGTAAACAGGAAGACATGGGGAGTACCAAGAGGGAATAATATCATTAATACCAGAGCCAGTTGGCTAAAGGGGAGATGTAGTCAAGTGTGGAATGCTTCAGGGTAATATTGTTATAGGAAATAATACCAGAGTTGAAATATGAAATAATATATCTCCCAACATGTTAACGGTATGATATCCCAAGTTCTTGTTCTCTAGAAATCGAAGAATGAGTCCTAGGGCCAATGGAGGTTAAGAGTAAGAAGATATTTATTGATAGGAAAGCTCCTGAGGGGCACGAGGGGGACCTGAGTGGGTAGCCCGGGACCCCACTTTACAGAGGAATTTTATAGAGTGAAATTTACCTGGGTACAACGTGGGCCACAGCAATGAACATCCAATAAGGTTACAAGTATAGTCACTTAGGTAATGGTGGTCCCATTGGGAAACAAGTCATGTAAAAAGCATGGATGAAAAGAACAAAGATTCTCCTAGGATGTGGTGGGTCCAGAGGTCTTTGGTCACTCACTGGGGTAGTTGATGTCTATCTAGGATTCATTAGCCCAGTGTGTACGTCTGGTCATTTTGTCTTTATCTTGAGGTGTTGTTTTCAGCTGATGTGTCTCCAGTGTAGCTGTGGTGTGTTTCACCTTTGTCCTGACCCTCTTGAGGACTTAGCCCTATCTGACTGCCTATAATATTTCTACTTAGCTCATCTATGTATAGTAATATTACTTGACCTCAGACTGCCTTTGGGAATTGACAAATAGGGAAATTTTGTGAAACAAAATTTAGCTGAGTTTTTCCAAAAGAAACTAATCTGGGTAGTCTACTTAAGTTTTATTGGGTTAGAGTCAGGATGAGGTGGGCAAGCCTAACTAAAATAGTATAATAAGTACAGGCAATCATAACCACAAAATCCTGAGCATAGACTTAAATTTTTAGCACCGGTACTAAAAATAAGACTTTTACCTAAGACTCTTCTACCTCCTTATGAAAGTAATATAGTCCACTATCCATGGTAGTGAAACATACAGTGAAAAAACAGCAGACTCATAATCTCACATCCAGTTCATGTCTTTATATTTTAAAATGCATTTTCCTTCTTCTTGTAGTCCTTTCTTATTGCTTTAAAGTTCATTAAGTCTGGAAACTTATTTTGAGTAACTGTATTATATTGAATAAAATATATTATATGTCAGAAGAAAACACTATCAAAGATTGACCTACTTTTTCTCTAAAGGTCCAGAGAGTAAATTTTTTTAGTCATTGAGGGCCATATTATCTCTGCCAAACTACTTTCTTCTGCTCTTTTAGCATAAATACACTAATAGATATTGCTGTTTTCCAATGAATCTTTATTTATAAAAACAAAGAAAGGGTAAGATTTGGCCTGAGGATGTCATCTTGCTGACTGCTGCTTTGTATGTTTGGAAAGAAAAACTTTTAAAATTCTGTCACTCTTATTTACATTTAGATATTTTCTAGCAAAGGATTTTATGGTTTATTCCTACAGTCAAGGCATTGTGAATTCTCAGTCTTCAGGTATTCAGGTAAGAATTAAGATCTATGTTTTATTAATTTAAAGAAATTATATTTAACAAATACTTTCCTAACAGAGAAGAATCTCAGTATTCACGGGATATTTTAAGGTATTTATGTAGATTTATACAAGGAGATCATGAAGAGGCTCATGCTCATCTTTGTGAGAAGATAGGTTGTACTCTTTGAGAAGAATGGATGTGCCTGACCTCAAAGGTTTCTTGCTGTTTTACAATTAAAACAGTTAATTTTGTATAGCCCTGAGTTGTTTGTCTCCCAAAATGAAACAATAAATTTGAGGAGAAAAGAAAGAATTTAGGAGAATGTTTATTAGAAATAATAAGAAAAAAGCTCTTCATCCATACTCATCAAGAGGGGAAAGGCATACTCTGTACTTTCTTTGTCTTGGCCTTATATAGATAGGTGGATTGTGGGGGCTCAGTTCAAAAGGAATGAGTTCAAAGTGTTAAAAAAGAAACTGATTATCTTGCATTTCTAATTTTTTTTAGTCCTGTTGAAGTTCAGGTTTAGAGGTAGGGAGGAGCTGTAAGAGCTGTTAATAAACTTAGCATACCCTGGATAAGGATCTTCTTCCTAGGGGGATGAGTCTTTATCTCTCTATTCTTGTTACAGGAAATAATGCTGGAGGTGAAATATGAAATATTATATCTCCCAACCTGTTAACTGTATATACGCTGAGTTCTTGTCCTCTAGAAATCAAAGAATGAGTCCTCGGAACAATGGAGGTTAAGAGTAGAAATAAATAGGACACATGTGTAAATACTGAATAGTTTCTCTAGTGTGAGAAACTGAAAGTGTAAATAAGGATTAAAACACTTAAAATGAATAATTGATAATTTGAAATAGGAAAGAAAAGGTCCAAAGGGGTAGGGGAAGTGGGAGGGGAAGGGGAAAGGAAAGAAGGGAAAGGAAAAATTATGAGAAAAGGGAAAAATGGAAACAAAGTCTTTGTAAATAGGGAAGGGTGGAGCGGGTGAAGGGAGGGCAGGGAATGGGGAAAAAATAAGAACCAAGATACATCATGTACAGGTACAAGCACCCAGTGATAAATGTAAATGTATTGTATACCTAAAATGTACCAATAAAAGAATTTAAGCCCCCCCCCCCAAAAAATAGGAAGATATTTATTGATAGGATCCTGAGGGGCAGGAGGGGGACCTGAGTGGGTAGCCCGTGAACTCTGCTTTACAGAGGAGTTTTATAGGGTAAAACCCACGTGGGTACAATGTGGCCCACAGCCATGAACATCCAATAAGGTGTGGGACTGCATAACCTTTGTTCCTTTTCTCCAGCCCCATTGTGATTAAATGTGAGTTAATGGATAAAGATGCTTGTTAGTTTTGGGACACTAGGTAAAAATCTGTAACAGACCTAAAGTCCCAAAGTAAACTACTCAACTCCTTGTTTGCCCGCAACTGATGTTCCGGGCACCACAATTTTTAGAACAAGCTGCAAATGTCTGCTTACCATCAATACATGATAGTCGACCACTAACCTTTGTCCTCTTTTCTTTAATTCTATATGTTAACTTCCCCCTCAAACCCCTATAAAAACAGCCTCGGACTCTGAGCCAGCTGCCTCTCTAAGCTATTTTGCTTTGGGAGTGCCATCTGGCCAGACTAATAAAGGTCTGTTTTATTTTCCAACTTGGCTGGTGTGTTCCTTCCCGGGTGTTCTTCGCTACAGTCAACTCAGAGTGTTTGGTAAGGCTCTTGGTCTTACATTCTGGAGACACTGCTGGGATCCCCGGGTGTGCTCCACTTCAGCTCCTTAGAGCATTTGGTAAGGCCCTCGGTCTTACAAAGGTTACAAGTATAGTCACTTAGGTAATGGTGGTCGAATTGGGAAACAAGTCATGTAAAAAGCATGGATGGAAAGAACAAAGATTCTCCTAGATGTGGTGAGTCCAGAGGTCTTTGGTCACTCACCAGGGTGGTTGATGTCTATCTAGGATTCATTAGGCCCAGTGTTTGTTCTTTGAGGAAGTATGTAGGTCTGGTCATCTTGTCTTTATCTTGAGGTGTTGTTTTCAGCTGATGTGTCTCCAGTGTAGCTGTGGTGTGTTTCACCTTTGTCCTGACCCTCTTGAGGACCTAGCCCTATCTGACTGCCTGTAATATTTCTATCTAGCTCATCTATCTATAATAAACTCATCCCAACCTTTTACCCTTTGTCCTTGTGTTTTCTTCTACATTTTTATGCTTAACAAGCTGCTTGATTAACTGGCTACATGAATTAACTTTTTTTTTTTTGGTACCGGGGATCCTACTTGGATCCTTGCACTTGCGCAGCAGGTGGTGAAACCACTGAGCTAAATCCCCAGCCCTGAGTTAACTTTTTATCTTACCCCATAGTTAAGCTGCTCTACCTACCTACAATAACTAATTTACTACCTTTTGAGATTTGCTGGGTCCTGGCTTATAGCCTAGAATATGGTTTTGTTATACTTAATTGGGAAAGATTATAGAGAATCACCACCACTCTGAGCCAAATTTGAGTCCTTTTTTGTTGTCAGCTGGTGTTTGAGAGTGGCTCAAGCCTAGAAAACTCTTGAGGAGGAAAAGCAGCTTGCAGGGTTCTTTTAAGGCTCTTCTAATTGGGGAGGGCTCAGAGAGAGGGGCAACGCAAGTGAAATTTCACAGGAGCAGAACTTTGCTAAGTTAGTGGAGGTCAGGGGAAGTTTCACACAATTTAGTTGAAACAAAATATCGCATAGGTGAGGAGTATCCTGTTCACAAGTTTGTAAAGATACCATACAGTTGCAAATTGCTCTACCAAATGGGAAGGTATAAAGATAACATATAGTTGCACAAAGATAACATATAGTTGCAGACTGCAGGATGTGGCAATCTGTCATGTATTAACTGAGGGGACTCCAAAGCGGGGAAGGGGAAGGAACTACCCAGAATCATTCGACTTTACACAAATGGAGTCAGGTTGGCTATCACAGTTTCATTTTTGTAAATGCTCCAAGTATGTTTTAAAAATGTATTCTTCTCTTTCAGATATTGCATTCTGATACTTATATAATAGATTTGCAAGTTTGTTAACTCAGGTTGAAGAAGAATTGTCAGGACTAGTCAGCAAGAGGCCCAGAAAGGACTCATTCTGCAGAATTTCAAATTATTCACTCAAAGAATATAGTGTGGGCCCTAGAGAGAGAAAGGGGGTGGGAGTGGGGAGACAGAGAGAACGAGAGAGAAAGAGAGAGAGAGAGGAGACAGAGAGGAGAGAGAGAGAGAGGAGAGAGAGAGAAGCTTAGTACAGTTGGGAACTGGGAATGTTTGTGTTTTTGGTGTTGGAAATTTGTGGAATTTGTGAATCTATGGGAAGTCCTGTCTAGGTATTGGAAAAGGATGGTTCACCCACAGAAAGAAATAGCTCAGTCAAAGGGGAAGGCCTATTTTTATAGGTGAGGAGAGGTAATCTATTCACACATGAAAGAAGCCCATTTGCAACTAAAAACAGAACAACTGAAACCATTTGCAGGTGAAAGGGAATTCTACAGGCTTATTGTGTTCTGGAAGAAAAGAAAGAAAAAAATCTTAACTGGGTTTGTGTCTTGAAGCTGCAGTTTTCATTTTAAAAATCATTTTTCCTTTTTTCTTTTCTACTTATCTTTATTTCTTCTATCCTACCTTATGTTCTACATATGGTAATTGGTTGATTACCAACTATGCTGTTCATACCTGCAGATTTTGAATGCTTTATTTATCAGTTACTGAGAAAAATTATGTTTAAAAATATTTTAGTAATATTGTGAATTTTATATTTTTGCTGCTCTTTCAAGTTTAGCTTTATAGTTTTTGAAGCTATATTATGTAGTGAATACAAATTTAGAATATTTGTACCTTCCTTGTGAATTGAAGCCCCTATCATTATGAAAGGTCTCTCCTTACCTCTAGTAATGCTTATTGCCTTAGAGTCTAGATTTTCATTATTACTACAGATTTCATGTCATCTTTTGAGATTGTGTTGGCAGCGGATATCTAGCACTTCAGTTTTCTGTTATTATTATAGAATTTTATATGCAAGAATATTGAGACCAGGAGATAGACAATCAATAGGCAGCTAGAATAGGGACCTGAGTAAACCAAGATAAGCCCTGGGAGAACTGGAAAACAAGAGAGAGAGACTCACTGAGGTCTGGCTTGGGGAGCTAGAGGACACCTGTTCTCCTGACATCAGAGGCCTAGCTAAAAATGGCAACCCCATTGTTTCAAAGGGCAAGGGGCTAGGGAAACTGAGATAAGCCCTCAGAAATTATGATGCAAGGTAAGTCTGTTCTGATGTCAGAGGCCTAGGTAAAAATAGCAGCCATGTTGATTCATTGTTTCATTTTTCACACACCCACCAAAATAGCCCAGCAAAGTACAGGTAACCCCCGGAAGGTGAATGCACCCTCAGTATCTTCCCTTGGAGCCTCTCTTGGCTAGCAAGAGCTCTTCTTTGTTTTCCCTAGTAAACTACTCTCTATATTCCCCATTTTCTGTGTTCATGGACTTCATCCTTCATCACCCTTAGGACAAGAGCCCAGAGAGAAAGTTGGTGTACTTTTAAAGATATCCTGATTCATAATTTTTAATTGATCATCTAAATTTATAAACTGGAAAATAATTTTACCTAATGAAATAACATATTGGAGGTCCACTAGAAAATAATAATCCCAAGCCACCAATAAGCAGAGCAGTAAAAGTGGAAAGTAAGCATTTTTTCCCTGAATTTCACTTTGCTCATACAATTGTAAATCATGTTGCCTGTGAACGATATTGAGAAAGTGTTTTCAAGCATTGAAGTAGAAAATCCTTAGAAAGTTTGTCAATTCCTACATAACCACTTCATGTTTTTTCTTTCCTAGTCTGAATGCTGCTATCAAGGATATGTCAAAGGATATCCAAATTCTCTTGCCATACTCAGCGCCTGCTCTGGACTGAGGTTATTTCTTTTGTTGATTATAGAATGGTTATGATATTTTTCTGCAGTGAATTTATTCTCTTTATATCAAGTGTGTAGCTGGAGGAAGATTTCTATTTGAAACTGAGATTTTGCGAAGAACATCCTCTGCTGAACTCCTTCCTCCTGCTTTTATTTATTCTAGCTTTCCTCACTGAGCAGACATTTTTAGTTTCCTTGAAGTTTTGGGTTCCCTAGTCTCCTTGCCCTGCTTCTCATGTTTCTTAACTGCAGAGATGACAGTTGAACATAGTTGATTGCAGTGAGTTGGAGGAGCTAAGTTTAAAGTGGATTATTTTATTAGCAAATAGATTATTTACAATAACTACCATGTGTCTTACTGTTGAGCAATATAAATAAATAATGGTAAATCAGCCTTGCTTTTCTCAAGGAAATAATCTTCAGGATGAGGAGGCAAGTTATATGTAAACAAATAATTATTAATTTCATATTTATATTTTTCAATAACATCACTCTCCTAAACTCTCTAAGAATATTAAATTTCTTTTTTCCTGATTAGAGGAGCCTCCATTCTGTCAGGAAATTCTCCACCTTTCTTTTGTAATGTAGGGTCCCTGTTTTCACAACAAATGTTTTTCAATGCTTCTTACTTGGAATCCTGAAATTTAGACCTGAGATTGTTTTCTTGTAGAGTATTGACTTAAACTGTTACCTGAATTTAGGAAGGATAGTTATACAAGTTCTTAGGAATCTTATTTTTGATTTCTTATTCAGATCATGTAGCTAAATAAAATTAATAGATTTCATTGCATAATCATTAATAAATTTTATATTTATAAATAAAATTGTTCTCTCCTTAATTTTAAAAAGCATTGCCAATTAGAGAAAAATTCATCAAGATTTCTATGTACTAATAATTTACTTATTCACTGACTCGGGAAATGGGGGGATCACTTGGATGCTGTAATGCTGTGCTCCTAGTAAACTGATTAGGTAATTTTTCTTCCTTTTATAACTATAAAAATTGAGATGAAAAGTAGGTCTTGTGGATTAGAGAAATTACTTGTCTCTAAAAAGTTATCCCTAAGACAAAATTTGGAACAAAATACTGGACTCAAAATATACCATATCTTTAATTGTATTTTTCCTTTATGGATTTTATCAGTCTCACAAATAGCACATAATATTTTTTCCTGAATTTTACAGAGGAATACTGCAGTTTGAAAATGTTTCTGATGGAATTGAGCCTCTGGATTCTACAGTTGAATTTCAGCATGTTCTTTATCAATTAGGAAATGAAAACAATGAACTTGGGATTCTTACTGAAAATAGCAGAAGCATGGAAAAATACTCAGTGGACTATAACATTTTTATAAGTGAAAAAGTAAGTGGTATATGTTTTATTACTATTTTCTGAAGGACCCTAGTTAGCAAGACAGACTCCATATTGCTGCCTGACCCACCTGCCTGTCCTTTAGATGAACTCAGAAGGAGGAAGTTTAGAAACCTCCTCCCCTTAGAGAGTCCCTTTAGAAATAACAATTAATCAACTATTGTTTTACAAATGTTCTAACAGCAGGACGTTCTGCTTCGGTACCTTTCACTTGTTTTGCTAGTTCTATCCCATAGGAGGGCCTAGAAACTGTTGGCCTCAAAGGTGTATAAAACATGTTTGTCTGCCCGAGTCCAATGCTCGGCTCAATGTCCCGGCCAGTAATAAACTCCTGTGTGGTTTAATATTGGTCTCTGGTTGGTTCTTTCTTGCTGGGTCTAACATTTTCAAAGTAGTTATTGTTTTTACTTATAAATGTAAATGTATTAGCCTGTTAAACATTCCTACAAAATACCCTCTGATTGTTAATATCTTAATCTTTTATCAACCTAATGTTTTCTTGATACCATAATGTTATCTTTTTCTCTTGCATCATTCCATCATTTACTTCTTACAACTCATTGTATTTTAGTTCTTACATTTGTCACGTTGGGGGACAAGCACTGAGGTAAGCAGCTAACGGGGATCATAAACTCAGTAATGAATGAAGGAAACAGAGTTTAGAAAGGAAGACTCTTTATTTGTAAGGGGAGAAAAGTGGAAGACAGAAAGCTGCCCAAGGAGGGGACAGGGAATTTCAGAAAGATGGAAGACCTAGGGGCCCTTTGTTTCTGGCTTCTTTAACTGGGTGCCAGGGGCCCATCCCCCTACCTGGAATGTGCCATAACCTGATTAGTTCCTTGGGCTGTCCTTGGCTTAGACTGAGCCCCCTTGCCTATTGTGTGCATTTCTTTTAGTGAGCTTTGTGTAACTTCTTTCTCTTTGTCCTTGACAGGGCCTTATCTCCGGGATTGTTGGTTAGGAGGACCTTTATCAACCTAGAGTTAGTGAGGGGATATGTGGGTATTCTATTGTAGCAATATAGTGACCTTAGGGGAAATATATATATTATACCGAATAAGAGCTTTCCCTAAAGTTAATTTGCCCCTGTCCACCTCTGTTTCCCTTCAATTCTTTTGGCTATGGGGAGGGCTGGCCTATCTTGGGTATTTGGTTTCCTGTACTTGGCTTTCTTTCTGCTTTGCCTGTCATTTCTCTGTAAATTTGTTTTAAAATATTTAAATTATTATTATTACTAGTAGTAGTAGTAGTAGTAGTAGTAGTGGTAGTACTGGGGAATTAACCCAGGGTCTTTGCTGTGCTAGATCCCCATTCTTTATATATTTTTATTTTGAGAGAGCTCTTGATTCTACATGTGAGTGAGAATATATGGTACTCGTCTTTCTGTGCCTGGCTTATTTCTCTGAACTTCACGCACAGTTCCATGGTTTGATTCATGTTACAAATGACAAGATTTCATTTTTTGTTTGTTGTTTCCTTTAGTGGTACTAGTGATGGAACCCAGGGCCTTTGGATTCAGACACATTCCCAGACTCTTAAAAAATATTCTTCAAATTTGTGACAAGGTCATGCTAAGTTATGAAGTTACCCTGTCTGTGTTCAAATTTGTGATTCTCCTCTTTCAGCTTCCCAGAATGCTAGAATTACAGTTGTGTGCCACCTGGCCCAGGGCTACAAAATCTTTTAATGGATAAATAATATTCCATTGTGTCTACTATATTTTCTTCATCTGTTCATTAGTTGATAAGCACTTAGATTGTTTTCGTTTCTTGGCTAGACATAAGTAAATTTTACAAAATACAAATATAACCATCTAAGTGAGAGAAAGACCTACTTTTAAATAGGATAAATTTCAGATAACATTGATTTATGTATTCCATAAAATTTAAGAAGAAGGATATGAAGAAATGACAGACAGGACTGTATCATAAATTGAAAAAGAAATGAAGAATCCTGAATAAATCAAAATGAATGTAGATAATGGAAGGAAAATGTTTTCAAACTAAGCATAGGAAATACTTGCTTTTATCATCAGGATCATTCCCTCAGAAGGGAATAATCCCTTGCTTCAATCCTTTGCCACAAGTCCCTCATACCTGGCAGCCTCCAATCTTTGGACATCAGGCTAGTGAGAATCAGCTTAAGACTTTTGCAAGAATTTTTGGAAAAATTTATTTCCTATTTGATTGAAAGTATGATAACGAAGCCTGGGGATGATTGTGGTCAAATCTGACCTACACTGAGATAATATACATGTTACTGAAGACAGCATGGCTGAGTGAGAGATGGAGAGATACAGTACTGCGGAATTTAATCCAAAGTGTTAATTGAAGTATATCCTAGAACTTTCAGTATCATGAATGTTTGTATGTATGTGTATTTGCTAACACAAATTCTTAGTTGTGTTTTGAGACTTAAATCTCCAACATCATGATAAATAAAAGACTTTCCAATATATTTTTTAAATGCATAGCAATTAATGATTTGAATTTTTAATTTAGCTAATAAAAACCAGAAGATATTTCCAGATTATGAAGTGGTGAGCTAGGTAAGATCAAAGAGAAGATGAAGAATAGTTGCTCACCATAACAATTTTTCTAAAGAAGTATTAATTTAAAAAATGCAACAGAAATAATAAAAGCAAAAAAATATGATCAATATGAGGAAAAATTTAAGTTGTAAATTTAAAGCGTTCCCTGGTATCTGAAATAATAACTAAGAAGATAGTAACAACCAAATATATTTTGAGTAAGTGCTCAGTTTGGAATTAAAATATGCATAAAACTCCAGATTACTCTACATCTAAAAGAATTTAACAGAAACACTTTATCTGGAAAATAAAATAGGTAAGACTCTTGATGACATTGGTGTAGGCAAGAACTTTATGAACAGAACCCCAGTGGCATGAGGAATAGTACCATGAATTAACAAATAAGATCATATCAAATTAAAGAGCTTTTGCACAGCAAAGGAAAAAAACCAAGAAAGTGAAAAGCAAACCTACAGAATGGGAAGACATTTGGCCAGCTCCTCCTCAGACAGAGGACTAATATCTAGACTATCTAATGAACTAAAAAAAAATTAGACTTCTCCAAATTAAAGACCCAATCAAAAAATGGGCAAGTAAAATGAATAGACACTTCTCAAAAGAAAAAGTTAAATGGCCTATAATTACATGAAAAAATGTTCAACGTAGCTGACTGTTAAGGTTTGTGTCTAGATATCACCCAAAGCCTTATACAGTCATAGGTGGGGTTTTTTCATAGTCATAGGTGGATCTAGGGTGTTATTCTGGGATTAAGGCTGTGTGATTACTAAATTAGTCCACTGATTGGTTTCCACATAGTTCTAGGTGTGATGCTACCTGCCCTTAGGGGAATATAAAGGGACAGAAGGAAGCTGCAATGTTGCTTATTTTTGCCGCTACTGCTTGTCTTCTGCTCTGTGATGTCCCTCTGCCACCCTGCCTTGGAGCCAGCTAACTGTTAACTGCAACCTCTACAAACTGTGAGGCAAATACACCTTTCCTCTTTTAACCCTGGGTGACAGGTATTTTGTCCCAGCAATAGGAAAAATAACTAAGACACTAACCATTAGAGAAATGCAAATTAAAACAGCACTGAGATTCTGCTTTACTGCAGAGAGAATGGCTATCAGTAAGTCAAATAAAAAATGCTGGCAAGGCTAAGTTGGGAAGGAAAAAGAACACTTCTGCATTGTTGGTGAGAATGTAAACTAGCCAAGCCACTATAGAAATTTCTCAGTATGGAGATTCCTCAGAAAATTAAAACTAAAAATTCCATTTGGCTCAGCTCTTCTCCTTCTAGATATCTTCCTAAAGGGGTTAAAAACATATTACAGGCATATACGCCTACCAATGTGTATAGCAGCACAGTTCATAATAGCTAAAACCTGAAAACAGCCTATATTTCCATCAACAGATGAATAGATAAAGAAAATATGGAATTTATACATAATAGAGTACATCTCTGCCATAAAGAAGGATACATTTGGGTCATTTTGGGGAAAATGGATGCACTTTGAGACCATAATTTTTAGTGAAATAAATCAGACACATAAGCTTAACTATTGAATAGGTTCTCTTGTGTGAGCAAGTCAAAATACAAGTAAAGAGCAGAATAAAAGATTTATAATAGAAAGTAGGGAGATAGATCTTTTTTTAAATGGGAAGGGGATCAAGAGATAGAGGGAGAGGAGAGGGAGAAGAGGAGAAGGTGATGAAGAAAGAATTGAGGTACGTTATTTACGTGTAACAATGATCCACAAGAAATGCAATCATCATGTACTGCAAATATGTACAGCACTAATAAAAAATTAAAACTAAAAAAATTTCACAACCAGCCTAGTTCTATTATTTTCCTCTGCAACATTAATCAAAAAATAGTGAAGTAGCATGTATCAAATTTTGGTTAGAAACATTTGTGTCTGAAGAATTTATGCTAGTATCATTTAAGGTGAAAGTGTCAGAAAGATATACAAAATAGCTGATTCCAGAAAATGCAGCCTCATTAATCCATTTGAAATTTATTAAACTATGAATTTGTGACATCAGATATCCAATTATCATTCTATTTTACTGAATCATTAGTGAGCAGAAGAAATGTGCTGCAATCTCTAGTAGTCTTTCCTCACTCTACTTTTAGAAACATGGAACTTAATGGGTGGGCTCAGTAAACTGTCTCTGATGAAGAAACAATGACCTTGTTTGATTTGGATTCTTGGTCCAATATTGATATCTGTCTTCTTGTAGAATCATCCAAAGCATAGTGATGAACAGAATCATCTTAGTAAACGTTTGTGTGATAATGAAAATGAGCAAAAAGCTTTATTTGCCAAAGTTCCATGCCTTGTACACTCTCATGTTTTACTTAAGTTTTATTTTCATAAACTTTCTTAAAAATTTTATTTTGAAAAACTTTAATATATGTATGTCTACTATTTGAAAACAATACTCTTAAGATTTCTATTTT